CGGTACTGGCATCAGCACGCATGACAAGGCAAGGCGAGCTGAGCGACTGGCCAGCCAGCTGTCCCCCGCTTCTCCCCGCCACCTTCAACTCCTCCTTTGTACCTTTGTCGATGGGCTTTGCTTCGGGACGGTCGCTCGGCTCGCCTTGCCTTGGGTGCTGAAAGAATCCTCGCGCCTTAGTTTCGTTCGAAGCTGCCCCCCCCTTCGATGAAACTAAGGCGCGAGGATTCCTTCAGCACCCAAACGCCGCTTTCCAACCGGAAAAGCTCACCCGGAAGCACTTTCTCGTCAAACAAGATGGCGGCGCCCAGCAAACCGGCGGCCCGGTAGGAAATGTTCCATGGACCGGTCCCGGTCCGCGGCCCGGTGGTTGGGGACCTCTAGTGTAGGACACCTAGGATAGAAGCCGTGTAGGACATCTGCTTGGGTGGGTAAAAACAAGGGTGGGATGCAGAAGTTTGAAACTAAAGAGGACCTGAAATGTTTCAACAGAAATAGAGAACAAGGCTGGTTCGCACAGTACATTAGACACTCTATATTTTTAATGACACATGAAAAATATTACACATCTCATTGTGGGCAGGATTTCCTACTGATTCCACTATATTGCTTCATTTTCTGTATTGAAACTGCAGCAGTGCAAGTTTCAAGGACGCCATTAGAGTCCAGGTAGTTTTCAACTTTAGAATTTAGAATAGAATACAGCTGGAAGGGACCTTGGAGGTCTTCTAGTCCACCCCTCCCCCCTGCGCAAGCAGGAGAATCTATACTATCTCGTACAAGTGGTTGTTCAATCTCTTCTTAAAAACCTCCAGTGATGGAGCTCCCACAACTTCTGGTGGCAAGCTGTCCCACTTGTTAACTGTTAGGAAGTTTCTCCTTAATTCTAGGTTGCTTCTCTCCTCGGTTAAGGTAAAAGTAAAGTTTCCCCTAACACATCCATGCTAGTCATTTCCGGCTCTAGGGGACGGTGCTCATCTCCGTTGCAAAGCTGAAGGAGCCTGCGCTTGTCCGAAGACGTCTCCATGGTCATGTGGCTGGCATGACTAAACGCCTTCGAAGGCGCACGGAACGCTGTTCCCTTCCCACCAAAGGGGTCCCTATTTTTCTACTTGCATATTTTACACACTTTCCAACTGCTAGGTTGGCAGAAGCCGGGACAAGGAACGGGAGCTCACTCCGTTACGTGGTGCTAGGGATTCGAACCGCTGAACTGACGACCTTTCTGATCGACAAGCTCAGCATCCTTAGCCACTGATCCACTGCGTCTCTCCTTGATTAGTTTCCCTCAAATCTTTTCTTATCTTGGCTTCTGGTGCTTTGGAGAATAGCTTGACTCCTTCTTCTTTGTGGCAGCCCCTCAAATACTGGAAGACTGCTTTCATGTCTCTCCTAATTCTTCTTTTCTTTAGACTAGCCAAACCCAACGATTCGTTTAGTGACCATTTGAAATTAGCAGGACACCTCTCTTTAATGACTCATTACTTCTTGTCCTGACCCTCTGGCGCTTTGGAGAATATCTTCTCTTCTCTGTGACAGCAGAACCTTCTCTTCAATAGATTAAACATTCCTAGCTCCTATTTCCATTTTTATACTTCTCCTCCACCCCCACCTCAAATTGTCCGAAAAAGTGTAGAGAAGAGCAACAAAGGTGACAGTTGTGTATTTCGTCCCTGGTTTACAGACTAGCATGGAATTTTTGTGAATAGACTGCAACCTGGTGGCACGATAAAACATAGCACACTCAGTGGGTGAAAAGAGGACGATAATGAAATCTGTAGTAAATATTATCTGTTGGTGGACTCAATCATCTACAGCAGTCCCAATATGTAAACATTACCCAACTGTGAATTGTAACCTTCCATGCTGTTTTCCCCATTGTCTCTACTTGTTGGAAGCCTGTGGACAACTGGATGATAATGGATTGTGACCAGATGTGGGTATTTAGCAGGTTCTGACCCGTTCTGGAGAATCAGTAGTGGAAATTTTGAGTAATTCAGGGAACTGGCAAATCCCACCTCTGACTGGAGATTTTACAGCGTCCTTCCCCTGCCACGCCCACCAAGCCATGCCCATAGAACCGGTAGTAAAAAAATTTGAATCCCACCACTGATTGTGACCAGTGGTGGGATTCAAATTTTTTTACTACCGGTTCTGTGGGCGTGACTTGGTGGGTGTAGTGTGGCCTGGTGGGTGTGGCTTGGTGGGCATGACAGGGGAAGGATACTGCAAAATATCCATTCCCTCCCCACCCCACTAACCTGCTTTCCAGCTCCATTCTCCTATGCAGGGCAACCAAAGAAGACGCAGCCAATCAGCTGGGACTCGGGAGGCAGGGAATAAATAGATGGGGATGGGGCCAGTCAGAGGCAGTATTTGCCAATTCTCTGAACTACTCAAAATTTCTGCTACCGGTTCTCCAGAACTGATCAGAACCTGCTGAATACCACCTCTGATTGTGACCTTATTTTTATTTCTTTATCATATTTACATTCCACCCATCACCCTCTCAGGATAACTATTCTAGCTAGAAGACTGATATTGCTACATAGACTGAGTCCGAAGGAGGAGTCAAACACATCATCAGACATGAGTCTCTGCGCACCCGTAAGAGGTCTATGCCCAGCCTACTTTGAGTTCCAATGGCTTTTATCCACCGCCAAATTTGCCTTGACTGTTCCAGATTCTTGTAGGGGGCCTTAAGCTTGCAAGAAATCCTTATATTCTTTTGAATTGCCCAAGTTTCCTGATGCCCACGCTTGACGGATCATATACATAGAATTATAACAGTTTATTGTTTGAACATATTACACTGTATTTTATTTTTTTCACTTATTTTAAGCAATTGTGTATACATTTGATCATATAAAAAAAAAGCAGATAGATCTATGCCAGATGTGGTCTTCAGCAGGTTCTGACCAGTTCTCAAGAATCCATAGCGTAAATTTTGAGTAGTTCGGAGAACTGGCCAATCCCACTTCTGACTGGCCCCGCCCCATTTATTCCCCACCTCCTGAGTCCCAGCTGATTGGCTGGGTCTTCTTTGGTTGCCCTGAACAGGAGAACGGAGCTGGAAAGCAGGTTTGTGGGGTGGGGAGGGAAGGGGGATTTTGCAGTGACTTTCTCCTGCCACGCCCACCAAGCCACACCCACAGAACCGGTAGTAAAAAAATTTGAATCCCACCACTGATCTTTGCGCACAATACATTGGGCTTAATTGTGGTTATCTAATTTGTAGCTCAGTGTGTTGGACAAACTCAAGGTGTGCCCCGACTAGTAAAATGTAAGGAAGGAAACTCGGGCTGAGGCCAGAGGACAACAGCCAAAGAGGCCCAGAAATCTAAAAATAATGCAGAGATCAAATTGGACAGATCATTGTTCCTTTTTTAGTTCACAATGAAGTTTTTTTTAACATGCCACCCAAGTTGGAACAGAGCGTTGTCTGGGAAATCAATAGAGAAATCCAATTATTTTACAGAAGAGTTCAAAATAGCCAACTAATGATGAGGAACAAATGATATGTTTGTATGGGGGAACACACTGTGAGCTTAAATTTGGAGCTCAAGACTCACAGCTCAACATCTTAAGAGGGGAAGGTTTTGCAAACGAACTATAAAATGTGGGCAGACACTTTTTTGTCATCGGAAAGGCCAAGTTTCCAAGATAAAAGACATCCAACTGGAGAACCATTTGTCCAGAATGGTATAAGATCTCCTCCTTGAGCAATGGGCTGGACTAGAAGACCTCCAAGGTCCTTTCCACCTCTATTATTTTATGTTCAATGTCTCTAGATTTGTGGGAGTTGACATTTTAGTGTAGATTCAAGAGCGGATGTACTGCCTGTTCATCAGGAAAATGAGGCTAAGAAGTAAGGCTTCTCTTAGTAGTACTCCATGTCATAAAATGTCAGGAATTCCAACTGAATTAGAACAGAACAGAGAAAAACAACAGAGTTTGCAGATACAAAACAGTGATAGACAACCATGAACAGACTTCAAGCCACAGGCTGTCCCAAACCATTTTTCTATTCATTTGTGGTAGACTCATAATTATCCCATTGATTGTGAAAATGTCAGAATTTGCAGAAATGGCAAAAGTGGACCTATTCTGATTCAATTGTTGAACATAAAGACAGACAGATAACCCTACAAATTCTTCCATACAAACTTTCCCTTATTGGATTATGTTACGTATCCTCAAGGTAACTCACAGTTATGTCGAAATGCATCTAATGTCCAATTCTTTGCATAGTTGAAATCATAGTGTAAAATGATAGTAATCTTTCCCGTTTCATCCCATAGTAGTAGGGACAAAGGAGAGACGCTAGCACGATGCTAGGGTCCAAGCAAGAGTGAAGAAACCTCCCCCAACGCACCAAGGGTCAATTCAATGACCAATCAGGATTACAGATGTGACTATATGACATGGACTACATTTCCCAGGTTACCTTAATTACATTTACCATGATGCATTCCCTTAAGGGGACAGCTCCCAATTCCTAACTAACTATCCCAATTCCCATATACCGGCTGGGCAGCACAGATCTGTCTGGTCAGGGAAAGACAATAACAACTGTTCTGAAAGGCTGGAAACCTAATATGGACTTCTTGCTGAAAGAAGAAGGAAATGATGTATGAGTTTGAAGATGAAGAAAATGTGGATGAAATGAGGGGCTGAAGAGACTTGTAAAAAACATCTTAAGACGAGGAAGGACTTTAAGATTTTAACGGTTTTATGTCACTACATCCTATGTTTTATTTTATGTCACTACATCCTATGTTTTGTTTGTTTGTGTGTTGTTTTTTTAAAAAAATTAATAAAATTTGCTAAAAAAAAAAGATTTTAACGGTTGAAAAGAAGGTCAGACGTCATTATATTTCTTAAATATTTTTATTTTTTCACTTGTTGCCTCGTTTTCCTTTCCCATTTCTCTTTTGATTTATATTTTACTCCATGAAAAAAATTTTTTTATTTAAATTTAATTTTTCTTATAAAGGACTATCTCACCCAAAGCATCAAAGGACCATTGAGGGCATATTTATTTGTATGGTATGACTTGGCTCCAGTGATGGCTGAAAACATGTGTAACTGAATTGCAACTATTTATGACTCTAGTTCTCTAACTAACAAGGCGTTGACTTCTCTTGAACTATATTTCATTTGAAGGAGGGGCCTTCATTGACCTCTTGGAGATACCAGGACAGTGTACTTTCTTCTGAAGTCTCACCTGACTCCACACTGTCTTCTCTCTTCCTCCCTCTGCAAGTATTTCAGGAGTTGGCTTTGAGGAACATCATCAAAAGTGAAAAAGTTGGAAGGAAGGTACCAAATTCAAAAAAGACCCAGTGTTTCTACTCCCTAAGACCCTTTGAGGACAACAGGGAAGATGAAACAAGAATGGCCTTTCAGTGGAAGACATTTCAAATAGACTGTGAAGAGCAGGATTTCTTTTGTGTAGCAAAAAATTGTCACTTACTATAACAGACCAAGATCTTAGTAGTTGATGGTATCCTGCAAGGATTTTTTTTGGAAGAATAACTATTATTTTGGGGGTGTTTTCAGTGTTACCAATCTTTTTTTAGGAGTTGGACATTTTTTGGGGGGGAACTGGTTTTTTCTTGGGAGAAGTTGGCCATAATTTCTTGGTAGTTGGTTGTGATGGCTTTGGGACAGTTGCTTTTGGTGTTTTCTTAGGAGATGGCTTCTTTGAGGTGGGAGGTGACACTTTCTTCAGAGTTGTTGGCTTCACTTTCTTCAGAGTTGTTGGTTTCACTTTCTTCAGAGTTGTTGTTGGTCCTTTCTTCAGCATGGTTGTTGGAGCTTTACTTGGAGTTGCTGATGACATATTCTTGAGAGCTGTTGTTGACACTTTTGGGGGAACTGCCGGAGGCCTTTTCTTGGGAGCTCCTGGTGGCCTTTTCTTGGGGGCTCCTGGTGGTCCTTTCTTGGGGGCTCCTGGTGGTC